TGTCCGCTGTGATGCAATAACTATCTGGTTCACACTCCAATTTATACTTAATTTAATTAAAGTTAACGATGAATTGACTATTTTTATTTCTTTTACTTTCCATTTGACGGGACAGCCCTTATCTGAACCTACTGCTATTGATAACGGAGAAAATCACATTCTTGTTTTGAATATTGATGTTTTGGTCATTGTCCTTTGAGCTTATTTTCAGTAAATATTGCACCAATTCTAAGAATGCACTCAGCTGCATGTGGCTGCTCCTGTTCGATCCTGTGTTTGTGTGTGTGTGTGTGAAGGAAACAGGAGTTGTCCAACCTGCTCCACGAGAAGAAATATCTGAAGGCGCTGGGTCTGGCCATCTCACTGGACCAGCCTCACACCGTGCTCACTGTCATCAAAGGTATTTAATCCTACAAGCCTGTTCTACTATCTCTAACCAGATGAGCAGATCAGATTCTCCTGCATGCAATCCATCTCCGCCTTCATCCTTTCACCTGCAGTTATCTTGACATGATGTCTTCAGTGTGTCATCTGTCACTGCTCACTTTAAGAGTCGAGTCATACGTGCAGGGCACATCGCTCAAAACAAAAAAAGAACACCTGCCATGCTCCATTGACTAAGAAATCTCTGTTCGTCTGTTTGACAGCCCTTTGTCCCTTCCCACTCAATGTCATGTTTCATAACAAATGAGAGCAGTGACTTTGTTCATTTCAAGCTGAGAACAGAACTGCAGGTGACAGAGTGTTCAGGGACAAATCGCAGACTGTTGATAAAGTTGGTGCTGTTGAGAATTAGTAGTTAAAATAACGTGGACAGTGCAACTGTCGAATTTCAGCTGCCAAAATGTCACCATATGCGCTGGTTTGAACTTAAAGGTACAGTGTGTAGAATTTTGTGATATCTAGTGTTGAAATTGTATGTTGCGGCTGAACACCCCTCACCTCACCCTCTCCTTCCAAACATGAAAAAGAAACTGTGGTAGCCTTCAGTTGTCATAAAAACTCAAAAGGTGTTTAGTTTGTCCAGTCTGGACTAATGTAAAAAACCTGGCGGCCTCCGTAGAGAGGGTCCCCTCGATGTAAATATAAAGTATTTGAATATAAAGGGCCTTTTCTGGGGCAAAGAAAACTACAATTCATACAATTTAGATGAAACTAACTAGTGAAGACATAATGATAATTAATTTACATTAAATATCTGCCAATAGTTTCCTTTCACCTAAATCTTACACACTGGACCTTTAACGTCCCCAAATCTTGTTATCAAGATGCAACAATGGAAATGACCTGTGTTGTACATCGTGTGCAGGGGGCTGGATCAACATGCACATAACTCAGTACATGTGTGTCAAACAAAAGGCCGATCCACCTATGTTTTGCAACATGATGGTAAGTGGTATGAATCTTGCCCAGTCATGCTTACGAAATAATGAACTGGGCCAAACCCAGGTATACACAAGGGAATCTTTAGGTACAGTATTTGCTTATATAATCCTTATTGTCCTAAATAGTGAAATCATTATTTAATTTGTGATTCCAATTGAGTTTCACAGATTTCAACAGTTCTCGTCAAAAATCGTTCAACTGCCATTCCTTTCTTAAATTGGTGGAAAGGTGTATCGAAGGAAAGATGTTTCAGTGGAAGCAGACGAGTGTTACAGTGAAACTTGCATACGTCAGAACAAAAACGTAGCCACGCCCTCTGTCTCATTCATGAATTCTTCTTTTACATGGACACGATGTCCAGTGTTTCAACAATAACTGACGTGAACATGTTATCAGACATCTATTATAGTAACCATCTCACACATCATATTAAGTCCTATTTTTTAGATCGATCTCGGTTTGTTCTTGTCAATGGTGAATCCTCCGTACATACCAAAGTTTGTCACGGAGTCACACTGTACAGATTGTAAAGCCCTCTGAGGCAAAATGTGTTTTGTGAATTTGGGCTATACAAATAAAATTTGATTTGATCACATGAGAACTAGATAAATGAGTGTCTTCAACCATTCTTTCCCCATTTCATTTGAACTGTTCTGTCAATCAAAGTGAAAAGCTCAGAAAAGAGAATAAAAAGATATTCCCCTCGAAACTGAAGTTTCCACTTAGATGGTCGGTGGTTCGATCCCCGGCTCCTCCGGTTTGCATGCCCAAGTGTCCTTGGGCAAGATACTGAACACCCAATTGCCTCTGACAGAAGTGCCTCAGTGTTGTGTTATAAGAAAAAACATATACTAGCACTATATGAATGATTGTGAATCTATGGTGTGAAGGGCTTGTACTTGTGTAAATTGCTCTGAGTGATCAACAAGATTAGAAAAGCACTTTGTAAAAATACAGTCCATGTGAGTCATTACCACAAACTTGACATGAACAGATGTTCTCTCCTGAGCGTAGACACTGACTCTCTGCTGTCTCGGACATGTTCTCTGTTTTTTTAGCGATCCGTCAGGGGGAGGACAGACAGGAGCTGTTGGAAAAGACGATACTGAAGCTGCGAGTGGACCAGAAAGGTAAGAGATCAATAATCTTCTGCAACTTATCAATGGTGATCCACAGAAATAAGAAAAAGACGGTGAAAACTCCACAACACCGTTTAACTCCCTCCTCAGTATCACACCGTCCAGCTGCTAGGTTTTCACCTTTGTTTTCATCCTCCTCTTTTTTCCACTTTCCCACTGGCTGCTGCCCGTCACTCAAACCTGTAATGTTTTCACTCCCTCTCAGAGTCGCTCCTGCGCTACTGTGTGGTGTGGAACACCAACGCCAGAAACTGCCAGGATGCTCAGTCGGTCCTCCAGGTGCTCCTCACACACCTGCCGCCCGAGGAGCTGCTGCAGTACCAGGGAGCCCGAACAAACCTGGAGGGACTCATTCCATACACAGGTCAGCAGAAGGCATGTGTGTTAAAGTGTTTGAGCACAGCAACGTCTTCACTTCCTCAAGAAGCTCAATTGGTTTGGTGTGTCTAGTAAATTGATGAGACCCTTTTACAAATCAATGGTAGAGTCTGTCCTCACCTTTGACTTTCTCCCCTGGTTTGGTCATCTCTGTATCGGGGATACGTTAGGACACATCAGTCAGGTTGCCTGAAAGATTGTTAGCGTTGGGTCACCTGATCTGTTTCTCACCTTTGATAAGACAGCTACAGCTGAGGCTCGAGAGATCTTCTTACAGTGTCCTCGACATCCTCTCTGCTGAATTTGAGCTTCTTCCCTCAGGTAGAAGAAACAGTAAAGTCTAGCTATAACTCAGGCCATCAAACTATTCAATTCTAATGATGACTTAGTTGATTAGACATTTCCTGTTCACTCCTGATGAGGGTCTTACTTTTGCTTTTAAATGACAGTGTTCTTGTTTGTTTTACAAGCTCTTGGTATTCATGTATTTTCTGTCTTGAGCCTGTGTGCCCGTGTTTCCTGAGAGGTTTCATTTTTTTGCCTGGCTGCACAACAAATTTCCCCTCAGGGATAATAAATGTAATAAAGTTGAAATTGTTGAAGTGAGACAGGTCAATCTGTTTTTAAGCTGCCTTTAAGCATTGTGTGTCTTGTAATGTGGTTTTGCACATAGTTAATATTCAATGATGCATACCTTTGAACCACAAAGTGACAGATGAGTCAAAAGCTAAAGAGGATATGAAAGAGTCAGTTTATTCTTTGTGCAAAGGACATTTAACGGTGATCCTGGGTTTTCTGGTGTCTCCTTTGCTCTTTTTGTCTGTGAGACGGAGTTACAAAGGCAATGCGTATGATATAATCACATGATTGTTAGAACGGCTTAAGTTTCCTGTTCCGTTCACTTCATTACCTAAACCAAATACCTGAATCTAGTTTTGGCTGAAATAACTTCACCTCTTCTCCCTCCCTCAGAGAGACACATGCAGAGGATTGGAAATTTGCTGCAGGCGTCCATGTTCCTGAACTACATGTGGCAGAAGATGAGAGTGGCCGGAGCACCATCCAGGTGAGAGAAACTTGAGCCGTTGATGTGAACTCTGGCAAATGTGAGGGTACATTGGGTCTGGATGCTTTTTGGAATTTGCATTTCACATTTGAAGAACGGAGCACGGAATGTTCAGGGTCAGACACGATGGCACCAACAGGAAAATGTCCAGAACGTTCAGGGGAGGGGGTGGAGCCTGAGTAGAGGATGCAGGACGCAGGTCATGATGTCTAAATTCCTCTGCATAAATCAAATGCTTTTATTTATAGCGCATCGACACCAGTGTCGGCCCTTATAAAGAAAAGCTTATTTTTTTCCAAGTTGACATTAAACAGTGTCTTCTGCATCTATTGTTTACTCCTGAGATATTTGTCTTCTTCCAGTTTTGTGTCTGTCACATGTTCGAAATGTCATCAACATGCCCACTTGTACACACATGGACATCTCACATGGACTCATTGGACATTTGGATAATTAAAATTTCACTGGCAAGAAAGGTTCCAGAAAATGTCTGGAGAAACGGATTTCGCATACAGGCCCTCTGGAGAATGTCAGTTCAGTTCAGGTCTGAAAGCAGCTTTAGAGTCTCACACTGTTCAGTCTCTGGGGTCTCAGACTGGAGCTCATGAACACTTAGTCCACTGCACTGTGTTTTCTGCTTCAAAACAAGATACTGTCTCGTGATCCTTCAGTCATTATGTGGGTCAAACATGCCATCGAGTCTGTCATCAATGCTTAAAGCGTACCACAGATACTGTTTGTGTTTCTGTCTTGTGGAAGTCAAAGAGGTTTTGTTTGCTACCGAGATAAACAAGCATTCTAAACCTTGACCTAGGACTGCTGCCACATTTTTCCTTTTCAGGAAAAAATGTCAGATCTGAGATTTGAAAGCTCCACCAAAAAAGTTTCCAATATTAACTTAAACTTATTTTATCTGTCTAGTTAGATAATAGATACTGTCTGAAAACTAATTTACAGTCTAATCCATTCTGTTATATCTGTTTAGCATGGACCAAGATGAAGAAATGGACACCACTCCTCTTGCCCAGACCCAACCTGTCTTCATGATTGACAAGGAGAAAGAAAAGGGCAGTGGTGAGGAGAACCGAGATGTCGGGGATGACAGCGATAGCGGACAAGATGAAGATCCAAATTGCCCCGTTGAAGATGAGGAGGACGACGACGAAGTCAGCGTCACCAAAAAACCCTCCACAAATGATGGGAGGACAGAAATCAAAGAGAGCAATGGAACAAATGGCAACCACCACTCTGAAAGTGAGGAGAGTTCAGAGGAAGAAGACACGAAAGAAGACGAGAAGGATCAAACTATAACGGTGAAGCGTCTCCCAGTTTCTACTGCTCCTCAGGGCCAGACTCTCGCCAGCTGACAGGGATCACCGAGGGGAACACGGTTGACTCTCTCCTGAAGATTAACAGGGGACCCTCTTATCTTGGACCATTAGCTGGAGCGACACACTGAATGTGTGGCAGTGAAAGAAGAGACGTGTGGGGTGATGATAATGCAGACATCAGGTCTCTTTGTTCTGATTTCTGCAGACAAAATGTACAGAAAGGGGGGGAAGATGAGGAATGAGTGATAAAAGAAAGAAGGTCAACAATCAGGCAGGGTTCTCTTCACTCACAGCAAATACCAGCGTCTGGTTCTGCAATGTTGCTTAGTCCTGATCTACTGGCTCAACCACAACACAAAAGGCTCCTTGTATCACCATACATTTTTTATGTAATGACTAGAAATGTTTATGKAATAAAAATGCGTTCGTTGTGATTTCAATTGAGTTCAAATTTGTTGTATTTTGGTAAAATAGGACTTTGTGAAGTCTTTAAAATCTCAGTGAATTGCTGAACGTGCTTTGAATGCAGGTTTTCACCTTTTGGTTTCCTCATATTTTAGAAAAAGCTGGGGGTGGGGCACACAGCTTTAGAGTTCTCAGTCCAAACACAGGAGGACAAAGTCAATGAGCTGATTTTACACATGACATATGATTCAATGTGTTTTTATTTGTTCCCAGCTCGACGGTAACATTTGAACATACCCAGTTATTCTTCATGGTCTAATCTGGGGTGTAAAGTCAGTGGTAAGTAATTGCACACATCCCATTCTTCAAGTTTTTTATTTTAAAGTTACTTCAACAACAGCCTGGACACGCTGGCTTTTCATGCTTTTGTATCTTTTGCAGGTAAAAGAACAAATTAATCACACTCTTGCACTCTACACAGTGCAAATGCATATAAGGCACAACACGGGTTTCCATTATGGAAAATAAACCATTTCGAGCAGATAATAAAGAGGTGGGTTCAGAATGTTTACTGTGACCTGATTAATCATTTATTGGTGTAAGCTGGTAAATTTAGCAGACTTTACGAAAGTTGAAAACATGTTCATTACTCACGGAAGACAAGAAGAAAAGTGTTTCTATGCAGTTTTAAAGAGACGTAACTTAGTTCCTGTTATATATTCCCACAGCCCTCTCACACTATATGATGCAGTGACTCTTAATTCCAGTTCTTTCTCCCTTGTTTTGATAACTGCAGCAGAATATCTGAGAATAAAACTAAACAAAACTCAGCAGAACTTTTATCTACAGAATAAATGAGGTTCCTTGACAGTTCAAATTGTGTCAGTTGAATCTTCACTGGCTCAGTATCTCAGTCTGTGTGGGAGACAGGCCTCTGCCCACGTTCTTGCGGGTGATGGTGGTGCAGCGGGTGAGGATCTCCCGAGGCTGCGGCCTGGGCGGCACCTTAGGCGTGGAGGTCCCTTTGTAAAGGTTGGGATCAGAGACACTAGGAAGTATTTTCCTCTCTGTGCTGTAAGTTGGGCTGAGGTTGTTGCTCGCAGTGGGTGGAGGCGTACGGCTGAGGTGCAGCTGTTCACCAGTGGCGCTCTGGCTCAGGGACAAGCTTGCTGAGGAGGAACTGAGGTCGTCGCAGCTGAATTCGCTGCTGCTGCTGCTGCTCACAAAGCTCGCCTCACTGTCTGCCCTCAGGCTCCTGCCACGCTCCTCCTCTCCGTCCATTTCCACCATGATGGTGGGAGGAGGAGAGTGTTTTGCAGGGGCGGCTGCGGTGGCAATGTTGGTGGCAGAGGTACTCTGGGCTGTCTGAGCAGGAGGTGGCTCAGACAGGACGTTGAGAGAGCGAGACCTCTCCTTCATGTCTGGTTGGGGTGGGTGGGAGGATGAGGAACTGGTGGGTGGAAGCTGCAGCAGGTTTCCATGGGAGTGACTGAGCTGGTGAGACTGTGCCAGTGTCGAGGAGTAGGCCGGTAGCACAGAGGAGGTGCGACGGTCTTGATGGTGGACTGGCATGCGGATGTGAGGGTGGCTGTAGGGCTGCAGGTACATGGAGGGGACGTAACCTGCTTTACCATCATATCTGTTAAAGGAAAGAAAGAGACGGGCACGATTTAAAATCTGGATTTTTTTTTAAATGAAGATACTCGTATTTACAGGCTGCAGGAGTTCAGGAGGAAAACACGAGCTCTGATGCAGAACACCCCTTCACCTTTACTTCAATTCATCTCTAAGGAAATTCCTGATTTAATAAACACCTGATGAGCCACCAGCCGTTGTCAGACTTCTGCAGGACCTCCACCTTTGTACCGATGTTCACAGTCAGCTCATCGTCTTTAGTGGCCTTGTAGCTCTTGATTGCGGTGCACAGCGTTCCTGAGAGGGAAAGAAAATAACTTTAATGTCATGTTGACAGACATGAACGCCAAGGTGTTGATGTTGTCTTGAGAGAGGGCACAACAGGACCTGTATCTAAGCATGTACCTCTTTCAGGAGTCCCATCTGTTTCATCATAATCATAATCATCATCCAGCTTCTCCAAATAGGGGGCAGGGAACCAGGCCATCCGTTTGTCCTCGTTCTCCACGAGCCACCACCCTGAACCAACAGAATTGCACATTATACTGATGCCAGAGAGCGTCTGGGCCGTAATACTTATTCATCAACTGAAGTTTCTCTGCTCACCTGCTTTATCCTTTATCAGTACGTCCACTTTTTCATCCACCACCACTTTGAAAGGTTTGTTCTTGGTGTCTTTGGTCTCGTATGAGGCTACACATCTGTACGTCTCTGTGACAAACGGCTGGGTTACGTTGCCGCCGTTGAGGTTTCCTGCGTCGACCCTGAGTTCATCTTCCGATGGCATGATGATGATGCTGAGGATAAGAGCTGCCGGTTAGTTTGCAGGTAAATGGATTCTTCTGACCATTTTATGTGATTTTTCTGTGCAGTTAGAAGAGTGCACCTGTGGGATGGATCCTGGTCGACTATTTTATAATACTAGTGCCGCGACTGTGCTAAACTTGAATGGGCTGTTTGCTCGGCCTGCGGTGATGCTGGTTGCAGCTTTTTTTCCACAGGTCCATTTGTGCAGGACTACTCTGAACTTGCAGACTTGAACTTGTTTCCACTTTTTTGTTCATTTTTCAACACATTTGTTTGTTTGTTTGTTTATTAGCAGGATTGAGCACAAACTACTCAACAATTTCTAAACATTTTGTGAAGAGGCGGGGCATGATCTGGATCTGTGGGTGGATCCTGGATTTTTTCATTGATCTTGCTGGAATAATCAGGCATGTTCAGAGGACTGATATTTATGAGTTTGTGCAATTTGTTGCAGATCCAAATAAAATTCTGGATCTAGTAAATTTAAATGTGGTTTCACACGGGGACTGTTGGGCCTTGGTAAAGGTTTGTGCTCTGAGTCCCATTCCAGTTTATTTGTGGTCTAATGTTCTCAAAAGGAAATTTTGGGGGGAACTAGAAAATGTGAATTTTGTTAAAATCTCTTCTATTGTGTTGAATCTGTTTTAAATTATATCTGAGACTAAAGCTTTAGACTGCAGACTATTTGTGATTGTTTTAGTTTGAGGCAGGTCCAGTTCCTTTTGAGCAAAACCAAACACTGCACATGAGTTTCAATCTGAGTGGGACCCTGAGTTTGTTGAGATGTGGAGGAGGAAGCACACAGAGGAAAAAAAGATCTGATCCCCTCCACTAAACTGTTAAAAATAGTCGACATGTTTAGCCTACCCGTTCTTCGAGAACTCTGGCTGCAGGTCCTGGTCTTTGGGGTGGAAGAACTGGATGAGGTCTCCACACTGACTGACCCGCGGGTCGCAGCTCAGAAGCTCGTTGCAGTATTTCTGCAAGACTTTGAGGCGCACGAGTGATTTCTTGGGACCCTTCCTCTGACCGACCCGCTTCGTCTCCTTGTCTAAAGGAAGCAGGACGCACGGAGTCACGATGAGCAACAGTCTCCATGGTGCATGATGAACCCACACTGCAGCTGGGAATTACGCACGCTTACCTCGAAACCTTGGGATGATTCTATCAGATTTTTCCACTTTACTAGTTGCTGGGAAGGCCTTCTTCATTTGTTTCTGTAATTTGATCGAAAGGAACACAGCGGGTTAAATAAATAAAAAAATAATAAGAAAAAGCAATTTAGATTTTTACGCGCATTTTATACTCACGTGGAATTTCTTGAACTCCTGAAAAGTTCTGTAAACAACGATGTCACTCTGATCCGACCACAGCACGGAGGTCATGTACATCTGGAAACAGGAGAATGCAGATTGAATCACACTGATGTCATGATATTAACAACAAGATGATGACTCCGCGTGCGCTTACTTTGCTCTTCTCCTTGTGCAGCACTCCGGTTAAACTCACGCTCATGGGATACCGCTGGGCCTCCATGGTCAGACGACAGAACCAGGACACAGTGGGAAGAATATCCCTGTTGTGACTGTGAGCTGCAGGTGAAGCCTCTTTGCTTTGACCTGGTTTGAAACCGAGGCAGTGATGGTGGATTTATATATTCCCCACAGGAGCGCGGGCGTGGCTGCGATGTATGAGTCAGGAACAAAACTTCTTAACCTCGTCACTTGTAGGAAACTCCAGTATTGCTCCAAACTGAAAGACCTGGGACCGGAAGGCTTATTGTCTCAAACAGGTGTACTCTCGGAATGAGGTGAGTGAGGCAGAATCTAAAATGGTCACATTCTTTGCTGAAGGAAACATTCTCTAGTTATGATCCCATTTTCCCACACACAGAATTAGAATGAGAAATAATCTCCTGGTTATTAAATCATTATAACTACATGAGATGAGTTTCATCGCAGCTTATTTTTTCCAATTTAACATCTGTTCATTTTATCCAGGCATTAAGTTCAGTTTGAAATACTTGGTGATGCCTGTCTGACAGAAAACCCCCAGCATTTAATAGACAAAGGGCCCATTAGCAGTGATTCCAAAGATGTTATGAAACCCTTATGGCAAATAATCATAAAATCAATTAGAATAACTATAAGCTATAAATAGAAAGAAAACAAATACAACCAAATACAGAGAACTTGAATTTAGACAAATAACATAAGATGTCAACATAACTGCACATCTCTTCTGCTTATTTTATTAAGATGTAAGATGATTGTAAATAGGGTATAATTAATTGAAAGAGACAAAAGATAAAGCAGTGAATGACAAAAGAATGAATACATGAAGAAAAAGAAGCTCATTCCACTACACTAAATAAAAACACACTGAAGTGCTTGGAATTGTGTTTTTAACGCCACACCATAGAGATGGATGAAGAATTTTATTTTCCATTTTTGAAATTGGCACAGGCTATTTAGTAATAAAGAGGTCACTAAATAAAGGGGATTTTTATTTAGTGCATCCTTATTTGTTGTAGTTAATATTCTGACATGTCATCCTACACATTTCACATTGAAAGCACTGAGCTGCAGATGTTCACAACCAGCTTTTATCAACTTGATTTCATGTGATTCTTGTTTTTAATACTGAATTACTCATTTTACATGTTTTTAATAGCCTTTTTGGATTCTGTTAATGTGTCTCGTTCTCTGAAGGCTGAAATTGCTGATTTCAAGTAAATGCCTCAGACCTGTAGAGTGGGTG